GAGAATGATATCTCGTAATCAGTGTGTTTTACTATTTACTCGTTGGATTATAAATGATTTCTTTTTAAATTCCTCAAACACAGAGTGGTTATGAAAGCGAAATGTGCCAAAAATCGAATTTGACAAACGTCAAATTAAAAAAAAGAAGTATTTGTTATATGGTGCCGGGCGTTTCTTTCATAATGGCCACCACATTTGGTAATATTATTATTATTATTATTATTATTACAGCATATTTATAGCGCGCCCTTTCATAAAACATGTTCAGGGGCACTCTACAAAGTGACAATGTAATCATAAATAAACAACAAGATTATGGACATGTTAACAATTGTATACAGAGTCAGTTAAAAGCCTCATTAAATAAATGTGATTTAAGTTGTTTTTTAAAAGAATATAGAGATGTACAACATCTTAAACTAAATGGTAGATTATCCCATAAAACAGGTGCTTGATAACTAAAAGAGACTAGTTGAACAGTTTTGGGCTATAAAAATAGTTTATCTGATGTACGTAATGTTCGACCATTATATCGTGGTTATGTACGCGAAATGTGCGGAAATCGAATTTTGTAATACATGTATAAGGCAATTTAACAAAAAAAACATAAATTTGGTAGACTAAAAGGGCATCTCTTAAGATACGTAAGATATGACTTTTGCAATGTCCTTTATATGGTTTTCGATGTCTCTGAATTTGAAGATAAATTTTGAAAATACAAAATAGCAGCAACACCAATTGGCGGATATTAAATTAATCGTCATTTTTCCTGTTGGATATTAGATAGTGTCTCTTAAGCATGATGTACACTGTAGTTCGATGTACCCTTTAGTTCAGATATAGTCTCCAAACCGTGTTTACACTGACTGTAGTTTGGGTGTAGTTCGTCAAATGAAGATGAATTTTACGATACAAAAAAATGAATATATTGTAAACGCGCTTTAAATATCTGGATGCGATAGACTTCGTGATAAAAAATTCAAGGTACATTATATCATTGGCAATAATAAGATCCAATTTTAGTTTTTAGTTACACACTGTTAACCACCAATAGATGTTTTAATGACAATAAATCATAAAATGTATTCAGCTCGACGTAAGACATAAATAGATACAGTTGGTTTAACTTGAATAGAAGTTTTAATTATCTATGCTGCATATATGCATATATCACCTTGATGTTCATATCGTCTTACGTATTTGTCAACATCAAGGTTAGTGCGACCCATTTGTGACAATTTCTAGTTCCCAAATATTAGCGATTTAGCTCCTTTAAAAGCGAATGCAAGTTAAATATGTTTAATCAGAGGCGGATTCAATGGGGGGCGCGAGGGGCGCCCCCCCCCCCTAATTTTCAACAGTGCCCTTTTTTACGGCTGAAAGTGCCTTTTCTCAGACTCAAATATGTCCGTTCCAAACCCGTTGTAGGGATCCCAAATGACTCGAACCATCGACTCAAACACACCAGTCTGGGAAATAGCTCTTGGAATGGCTACAGATGCAAGGAAATGACGGATAATTTTCTTGGGGACCCCCCCCCCCCCTCAGCGGCAAGCCCCGTCTCCGCGGTCAATGCCTTCATTTTGCAGCGCCCCCCCTTTTCAAAATTCCTAGATCCGCCCCTGGTTTAATAGTACTTTTATCTAGTGTATCTTTTATTTTGATTTTTCTTATAGAATAAGGCTATATAACAATAATGTGCGCTTCTTGTTGTATAATACTAATAATAGTATGTTCAGCTATACTTTTCGTTTAAAAAATGTATGTTTTATGTCCTATATACACTTATTCGCTGAAATCTATGAAATCCAACAATATAATAGGTCATATAAATAGATAATAAGTTTGCATGACGTCATATGAAATTCCTGGCTTCACAGTTGTCGCAACTTTATCTATACACGGCGTTGCGTCGACCAACCATGCAATGTGAAGTAGATGTCAATATGGTTATGTGCATAGGCGTACGAGCTGGGGGGGGGGGGGGCTGGGAACCAAATGCTGGGGAAATTTGGGCACACAATTGTACTTTGTAAAAGTTGTATAAAAAAATATTGTGTTCTTGAATGTGTCCAATTTAACAGCGAATTTATTATTATTATGTAACATATTAAGAACCTAACTACATTTTTGGGGCACCAACCACCACCGCCCCCCAGTCAAAAATTTCCCCGTACGCCTATGGTTATGTGTAAGAATATTCAGTTCAATATACTCACGGTGTATGATTTTATTCATACTTCAATTTTAGTGAGTTACTTCTGCAACGTTTTTAGAAAAAATTGCTATTAATTTGGCCAGTACTGTAATAGCAAGTGTATAAATATTTTCTGTTCAGTCTGTACACAGTAACATATCTGAGAACCATATTATCATTTCTGCCAAAGGCTCCCTGTGATTTATAGTTAGCAGTGATACAAGGCAATTACCAATTTTCCGTGCTCTTGGCCTGAAGAAATAAAATAATAAAAGTCAAGTTTTTATTATTATGCAAGTGGAAAAATACAATTCTTCATGGTATGATTTGAATAAATACAACTGATTTGAAGTTGGAATTATTATTTGTCTAAGATGACTGGGCATTTACAAATTGAAATAGCTACTCTTCATCAAGAAAATACATGAATATTTTTCCCAATTCACCTGGATTTTATCGTAGGTCTTTGTACGTGAAATAGCTTTATTTAACGTCCGCTTCCACCGAAGTGGTATTGCAGAAAATTAACAAATTCGGATTCCCTTTTAAAGGAATTAGACTACATTATCGCTGGATTGTATTATATTCAAAATGGCGCCCAGAACACAAAACAACCATTGCAATTCAGGGCGGACTGGTGTCGAGGTTGTATCCTAAGAATGATTTTTTGAATATTTAATCAAACAGAAACACAATTATGCACATGCAGTTATGATATAATATTAAATTAGCTTACCTCAAATACCTCGAAATATACTGTTTGGTCAGTTTGTCCGCCCGCCATATTTCTATTAGTCACACATCCTTCGGCCAATTAAAATGGAGGTATATTTTGTTTTAACCGAAACGAAAAATTTGCGTTCTAAATACATTGTATTAAAAAATACCAAAATCACAAACCTGATATTCTTATTTTCTGACAAACTTTTTTCACAACAATATCACTTTTTTCGATACTAGCTTAATAATACAGTTAACATTTGCAGTACCACAGGGTTTAATACCGCAAAATTACTTCAATAAATATTTCTTTCTTTGTTTTAAGAGTAATTCATTTTAATTGGTCATTTACAGGTAAGAATAAATTTCCAATTTCGATTAATGAACCAATTAAATTAAATAAAAAGATTAACTCGACTATTTCCACGCCCATTCAAACATTTTTTTAAAACGTAGATATAACACAATTGTTATTGTCTTTGATGTGTCAAGTTTATTGGGGCGATATCAATCAGACACTTCCAAATGCAGACATTATAATAACCTGTCTCTGTATATTGTCTGAGACAAGATGTGAAAATAAACAAAGAGTAGAATCAGAATAATCTTTTATTATATCTAATTAAATAAATAGTTTATATTTAGATAATAATTGACTAAAACTTTGATCTCTTATATCAGTATACTGTTATAAAATACGCTGTTTTAAAAGAGATATTAAATTCATCGCACGATACAAACATTGCGATTTCTACTTAATGTTTGTAATAATTAATATATCCTTTTAGATAATTAGAAATATTAAAAAATAAATCAAGTGAATTACTCGACATTCAAATTCAGGAAGAGTGGCTTTACATATAGGCTAGTGATAAAGGAACATAATAAATGTTATCTTTAATGTCGACGTAATTAATTATATGGAAAAAAACCACATAAGATTTTATGAATGTACACAGGTTTGTGTTAAGACATTGAAAAAAACACAAACTTGTGTCATTGCAATGCAATACAACACAAACATGTGTTAAATATTTTTAACACAAGTTCTTGTGTTGAGATCCAACACAAGGGTTTTTTCAGTGTTTGTTACATAATATACACTTGTATTACAGCTTTTTTTTTTGCATATAAGCCAAGCACGCATGAGTAGAGTACCCATAAACACTGAACGATTTGTCAAGGACTTGCACCGAACACAAAGAATGTAAGATCATTCCAGAGATAAACCTGTATACTATAATTGATGAATTTGCCGAATTTTGAAACAGGGCCACTTTGTTTCACGATTTCGGGGAAATGAGACATCATTGTTTTTATTCTACAAAATATAAAAAAGAGCAACGGCACCGCTGCAATATACGTCCACATTCACGACTTGGGGGGAATGGGACTTCACTATTTTTTTTCCACAAAATATAAAAAAAAAACTGTCACCAAATTGCAGGGGCCCGAGGCATTTGCCTCTAATGCCTATGCCATGATCCGTCACTGTCCGTAGTGTATTCGCAATTGAATCTGGTATATTTGTAAACAATTTGGCTTATTCCTAACTGAATCGCTACAATTCGTAGATGAGACGATTCCTTAATTTTGCACCTTATTCGTAACCTTATCTGGACATTGCATATATTTTCTACCAGATTACCCACAATTATCCTAACTCTTTCCTACACTATTCGTAGCTACTCCCGATTCTCCACGAATTTCGATTAATGTTGCAAGTAATTATGGAGCAATCCTCAGCAGGTTGAAGCTGAAACATCGGTAGTAAATCATAGCTACACAATTGTGCAGGTACAGTCCTTGTACACTCATTTGCGGGTAATAATATCCTATTCAGAAATATCTGGTAAAAGGTAAAAAATGTATCATATTTATCAGCATGTTGTGCACCCAAACATAAATATTCTTTTGAGGTCCCGAATTTTTAACTAAGATAAAATCAAAATTTTAGTAATTTGATTAGATAATATTAGATTGATTTAAGTGCTTAGCCAATCAAAATTGAAGTATCTATTAAAATTTGGATTTAATCTTTAGTTAAAATTTCGTGAAACAGGGCCCTGAATGTTAATATAACACCAGAAACTTGACAAGCCCAATTTAGTTGCAGCTGTATTTTTCGCTAATGTTTATCTACTAATTACTTAGCGGTACTCTCCTGATTGATGAAGTTGGGTATATGAGAAGTGAAGGTAAGCATATTATAAATATTGTGTGTAAGTGGGTCGCCTAAAGGGCACAATTCTTTATGGATTGTCTTTAAACTTGACATACTTATACCTTATACCCCTATTGTTTTGTTGCATACCGGACCTCCAGGGCCAGAGCCACGGCCATTTTTTGTATTTGTTAGTCACCTACAGGCCACAATTCTTAATGGATCATCTTGAAACTTTGCATACTTATTGCCTATTGTTTTTGGTGCATGCCCACCAAAGTTTCTCTTTGTGGGTCTGTGTTGCCTAAAGGCCACAATTCTTCATTGGTCGTCTTTAAAACTTTTCATAATTATTCCTTATACCCCAAGGATGACCTCTACCATTTTTGGTGCATGTCCGACCCCGTGGGACACAGCCACGCCCAATTTTGTGTGTGCCTTTGTGTCGGCTATAGGCCACTATTCCAAATAGATCCTTTTGAAACTATGCATACCTATTCCTTATTCCTTAAGGATGATCCCCAGGGGCTGAGCCACACCCATTTATTCCTTTGTGTGTCTGTGTGTTGCCTACAGGCCACAAATTTATATTGGATTGTCTTGGAACTTGGTATATATATTTATATTGGATTTTGGTGTATTCTCTGTAAATAATCTACAGGTTGCAATTAAACAGATTTGGATCCAATTCAGTATGATCCATCATAGGGTTTTACCTATTTATAACGGCCCATGTCCATCGCACAAGGGGCAAAGCCACGCCCACTGTTTGTGTTTTTGTCTGCAGTCTGGAATTCTGAATGGATCATCTTGCAACTTGACATATTTATTCTTTATACTGGCATGTCCCGACCCCCAGGAGTGTCGTTCCACACCCACTTATTTGTTAATGTTTTGTGTGTAAATACTCTACCGGTTGCAATTATTAACATATTTTATTCAAATTCAGCATATCAATCATTTCAATAACAGAGTTGTACTTATTTAAATTGTTCCATATCCAACCCAAGGGGCAGAGCCACGAATAATTCTTGTGTTTATCGTTTACAGGCCGCAATTCTGAATGAAACTTTGCATATTCATTCCTTATATCGCAAAGACAGCAATTATTTATTTTGATGTATGCCCCAACCCCCTGGGACGGTGTCACACCCATTTTTTGTTAATATTTAGTCTGTAAATATGGCAAAACAAAACTCAACGCCTAGCCTTCTTTGCCTCCTGTCATATTACAGTCATTTCATATTTCATTCTCTTCATTTTACAGTCATTTCATATTTTATGCTCTTCATTTTAAAAAGAACCTTAGCAATCAAAGCAGGCACGTGGACGTATATTGCAGCGGTAGCGATGCCCTTGTTCAAATTGGAGCGATTTCATTGCTGTTTGAATTTATTTAAAAACCAAACACCATTTTTGTAAAACATAGCATTGTGCATTGAACAATTATATAGCAGTTCCTGCGTAAGAATTTTATAAGACTAATTTAATCCTGATGGTTTAGACAAATTTTACAAAACATTCGTATGTGTAAGATCGTGATCCGGTGTCTCTAAGAAAAAGGAGCACGTGATAATTGGTCGTCTAGTTTCCCTAATTATTAAAAGAGCACGTGATGATTGGTCGTCTAGTTTCCCTAATTATTTAAACAAACTTCCAATACAAGACTGGACATTCGCCACCGTTTTATAGAATAAACCGAAAATTCGAGTAGACCTTTGTGCGTTTATTGAACATACAGAACCCGAATCCCTTCTTAAATGTTATTTGACGTTTGATAGTGTAAACATACACCATCGCGAAGAGCTGCCACTTAAAAGTTACCTAAAAACTTACTTCTAGTGTAATAGGTGGACCGATTTCTAGTGTTATAGGTGAGAGCCTACTATTAGTATAATAGGCGGACCTACTTAATACTATAACAAGTGGATCTATGTCTAGTATTATAGGCGGAACCGTTAACCTACAACGAAATGCTCTTACTTGCATAGGATTTTAATGAATCAAATACATCGTTAAAGGGCCTTTACACTGCGTGCGACTGCGAATTCTGCAATTTTTAGCACGGATCATCGTTCGTACTGAAAGCAACGATATACAAGGACGTTCGTACACAAAAGTGGTGCACTTATAATTTGACCATGTCCAGCTACACATCATCAGGCAGAGGCGACGCCGGGGTGGCTTTGTATTTTCTTCTGCAGGGAAGAAAGCCAAGAACACAGAGACGTGTATCTGTACTGTAATAATATTATGGCCTTGACTAATAGTTGTTTATAGATTCTTGGTCAAGCAAAATAACACCTGAAATAATAGAAATCTACATGAATTGAGCTATAGGTTAATAAACACGTTTGTCATATGTCAATTTCATGGTCACGAATGGAATGTGTCTGTTGACTAAATTTAGGGAAATCACGTGGGTAAGACGCTGGCTCGCTAGCCTGGAGGTCGGGTGTTCGATCCCTGCACTGGCCGAGAAAGTTCATCTAGATTTTCCGGCGTGGTTTCCCCTTGTCAGTGATGCAGGACGGAGCGCCTGACAAGGACAGCTGTCTAGTCGTTCGGATGGGACGAAAAACCGAGGTCCCGTGTACATATTGACGTGCACGTAAAAGATCCCTAGGCAGTTGGAATTCGATATAAGAGTAGGCCGTAGCGCCGCTGTCCGGGCACAATTTCCCCCATAGCACACTGTATGGCATATGCCCGTCTTCATTAGCCCAGTTTAGGAGCAGAACAGTAGGACGTTAAACCCCATTTCATTTCATTTGACTATATTTAGTAATGAGTCCCTCCCAGTGTGCAGTGTAGGGGGTATGCCCATTCCACATTTGTAAACTGAAAGCAAGGTGTTGGCACTATCAAATAGAGTGGGGAGATCTCACGCTGCCTGATACATTAGTCAGTTACTGATTTGAAAACGAAGAAGATTTGTGACTCATGCTAGAAGTCTTTTTTTTGTATATAAATAAAAAACGGAAATAAATAAAACCTGAACTGTAGTTATAATTTTCATCACGGACGTGAAAGGTTGAATAGTACTACAGTACACGAAATCCTCCAGAGACGCGGTATGTATGGTGAAGGAACACTATTTGCACCCAGACAAACTACTTCGGCTGGAACAGAGGCCTTCTTCTTGAAAACGTTTTCCTTGACACAGTGAGCCCTTCTTGCATGTGCTCCAGGATGAAACAAATTGTTCGTTGTTCTGAAATGGGGAATGACAATCATGAACTGTTTGAAATTCTGAAAAGGTTATAATTTGGGTTTTGGACAGATGATATATATGTAAATTAGACGTACAGAATTTCTTCGTTTACTTACGGTTACGCCTTGATAGTTTTGGCGCCGTCAACACTCTTTGTTTTCATATTCCGCTGATACTTGGACTGACCATCCCGCATATTTTCCACCTTGTGTCAATTCTTGGACTGCAAAAGGGAATAAATACTGATGATTCATATATGACCATAAGCTTCAGTTATTTCATGGAGTTACTACAGTATCATAACTAATTCGTGAGTATTGTGAGACAATTTGGACACGTCTAAAAGCATATCATCTTCCTATACCATCGACAGCAGAATGGTTCAAAACATCCATCCCAATGATATTTCATTCGATGGAACGTTCCAAACGGTCTGAGAGCTTTAATTGGGAAGAAGCGTGCCCTGTTCCAAGTTCCACGAAAAACGAGATCGAAGTTCTTTAATTACAAAGAATCGATTATAAGTTTTGCTTGACTATGGCTGGTTCTAATCATTAAGGCCACCTGCAGATTTCGCCAAGGTCACTATAGTAGGTCAAATGGCTCAATAAAGACGCTTGTATCTTTTGGCACGTAATTGGCACCAGTCGACTGTCTATATCTTGCTGGATATCAGAGAATGCCCTTGGCACACACGTAAATGTGTGTGTGGTTGGGGGATTGGGTCACAGAAGCGAGGACATCCAAAACAGTAATTTGAAACGATTCAGAAGAGGGCATTGCCTCCGTAACGATGCTACAGACATCTGAGAATGCCTGAAAGAGTGTTTTTTTCTTACCTGGAGGAGCAGTTATATGGCAGAACAGTGCATGCTTTGGCACAACTATTTAAGCTTCCTACCACGAGTGGACATTGTGCAATGGACACTGGGACACAAGAAATATGTAATGTGCTTACCACGGACCTGTCCATTATATCAAAACGTAAAAGTATATTTGTATGCATCATGTTTTAAATGGCTAGAATGAATACATATATTTATATATATGTGGCTGGGTCCGCTCGAGGTTCTTTCTTTCTTATTTCTCATATATGAAATGAAATGTTGTTTTATGGCACGTCAGGTCCAACCGGGCTATATTGCGCCAAACATATGGTGATTATTTCGAGACCGGCTAAACTATATCACAGGACAAATTACATGCATAAATAAAAACAGTATCACAGTAACGAACATTAAAAGTAAAATATATCTTTTATGCATATAACTATCTAAAATACAAAAATGAAATGATATATAAATACAAATTAAAATTTATAATAAAAACCTGTCTCTTTTTAAAAAGTCTGACACCTTACCATATAAGCCCCGTTGGGCAAACATGTGTTGTAATGACTGACAACGGTAAAAATTCGATCTTACACTTTTGAGATGCTTGCACTCAATCAGAATGTGTTTAACTGTCAAAGGAACTTAACAGTGTTTACACTCTGGCTGAGGCTCTTGTTTTAAGATGAAAATGTGAGTTAAAAACGTATGACCTATACGAGAGCGACACAAAACAAACTCATCCCTCCTATTGCATCTATATACGTTTGGCCAGTCTAAGTGGTTAATAATGTGTCACGACTATAAATAGTTATGGTATAACAAAAAGTAAGGTAGACCTTGACACACTTTGGTTAATAATGTAAGTGTGTCACTGTTAATAGTTATGGTATAAAGAAGGTAAACAACTCGCCACCGTTTTATTTCCCTGCCTTTATTTGGCCAGTAGGTACAGAAAAGTAAAGTAGGACGGTCTGATAAATTTGTCCGGTGTTACCTTTTAAACATGAAAGCGCCCTCCCTGGGAACTTAGATCGGAAAATCATCAGATTTTGCTCAATCCACTCTCTAATTTGAACAACCGCGGCTTCCACGTCAATAAGGCGTTTTATTTTGCCTGTGTGGTTAATAAGACAGATGACATTTCATAATATGGTGTTATGGTGTAATAAATCGCATGCACACCATTTACACATTTTTTCAGTTAATTTACCTCTTGTTCGCACGAGTTTTAAGTAAGATGTGTAAATACTTAGGGGTACTTCGAAGTTTTATCCCAAATTAGTTTTTGCTATTTTATGAAGGCAAACGGTAAATTGGACTCATCTTTTGTCCAATTTACTGCTGACCATTTTATTAAATGTAGTCTAATATCATACTGCCTAAGTATACGACGACAATTCCTTATCAGAAAAGTCTGGAGCTATTGGCTACAGAGAAGAAGGTTGTTGTCGCCTCTAACTGACTAGCACCAACAGCAGAGTACAACAGTAGCAAACCCTTTGTTGACCGGAAGACCATGGTGTTCGATAGCATCCATGAATTAAACAATGTCTTAACAGAGCCTGCGAGTATGATACATTCGGGGGCACCTGAGCAAGTTGATATAAGTCTTGACGTAATTGCTAGGATTATCACCAGCTAAATGTGTGCATTTCCTAGAAATAGCAGGATATATTCTAGAAAGCACCATTTACAATCAGAGGACCCTCAGAGGGCATGGCCAAAGTGCCCAAGTAAAGTAAGTTTGTTATGCGTCCGCTTGACATTATTTGCACATCAGCATATGTATATGTCGTAAAGATACATTTGCACAACCTCCTAGCTTGATGTAAATTTACTACTATTGCAAATTATCATGTCAATTTTCATACTAGGTCGGTTTTATGGGCGATCAAATGTCACTTTGACCGATAGCACTATAATAAGTGTGTACAATTATGATTAATAATAGGATGCGTTGTAAACGTAACTGTGACACATTCTAAAGTCAAGGTCGTTTTTTGAATCATAACGTCATCAATGTTTGTTTACGATACGACTTCACAACACCCTAGTTAATCATTAAACAGGTTAATTATTTGAATAAATAATAGGTCAGGCTGTTACCATATTCACATAACATGGCAAACATCCCCGCCTGACATTGACTGTACACTACGAGTACTAAATAAGAAAGAAATATGCACATAGCGTTATTTTCTACTTGAATAAATACTACCCCGATTAAAACGCAAGAAGTAAAATAAATTATTGTAAAATATTGGTGGCACGCTTTGGTTAGCAGTCATCATCATATATGGGAAGATCTAAAGCAGACTTGGCAGCCGAGTCTGCTTGATCATTCCCTTTGATATCCATATGACTGGGGGGCCAGCAAAGGACGGTGTCCTTGCTGGTGAACTTACTAATTGCTTGTAACGAGGACAAAGAATCAGAAAAGATAATGTGTCTTAAAACTGATGAGGACTGAATGACCTCCAAGGCTTGGAGCATAGCCCGGAGCTCAGCTGTAAAAATAGAAGCAGCAGGTGGTAGGCGAACAGATATGGTCTCAGATGGCGCCACGTAGCTGAAGCTACCTGATCACCATCTTTCGAACCATCTGTATAAATGGGAGTATAATCACCATATTTAGACCTTAGCTCTCTGAAGAGTGATTGGACCACCGTCGAGCTAGTATCTCTTTTTATGTTAAGTAAGATCAAAATCGATCTTAGCGGAAGATACACCCCGTTGGAGTCCTAAAGAAGGGAAATTCGCAATACTGTCAAGGCTGATACCAGCCTCCGACAAAAGGCGCTGTATGCGAATACCGAATGGTGAGATAACTCTATTCTTGAGCAGATATAAATGCTTATGATATGATCTAAATATGGTATTAAATGAAACATGATTTGGTAAAGATGCTATTTTTGTGGCCTTTCTGCGGGGCCAGTTTATCACGTCTGTTGTGCAGTGAGGGCGCATGTGCCTCGACTTAAAAACTGTCCACTGGAGATGTACGAAAATGCTCTTAAACGGATTTTTAAGTCCTGGCTGGGAATGGTGTCGAGCTCTATGAGATAAGACTCGCGGGAAAACTCATACACAAAACACCCATAATCGAATAGGGGCCCAAAACTAGCGCCGAAAATGCTTATATAACGCATTCCCTTCATTTAGTCCAAGGAATGATTATTGTTAAGTCCCATCCTAGGACATTTTAGCGAAAAATGCAAATGATGCATGGAAATTTACATGAAGTGTGCACCCAGTTCCATTTAAATTAGCTGGCTTTTCCGACAATACGCATATAACATTACACATAGTTCCAAACAAATCCAAACGTAATATGAATTTAATCATGTTTGTGACACGAACCTTCAACATAAAACTCACCGTGGAACTTACCCTACGCCTTCGCAGTCAGCTTAACTATTGTAATCACGTGTTCTGGACAACTTGTAACCATAATCTAGGCCCTGTTTCACAAAAACCTGACCTAAAATCACTGAAATAGATTCTAACTAATATCGGTTGTAGTTTAAAATTCAATTTTAATAGATTTTAGTTAAAATTGCTTGCGCCCGCGTGTGAAGATTTCCGCTGAGGGCATTTAGGGTGTAAGGAAAGACGCCTCAGAACTGAAAACTGTTGACAGATTGAACTAACGGTTACAATATCAACGGGGAGAGTTTCATATGTTTTAGCAAGGTTTGCACATGGTCATAGAGAGATGAGTTTATTGCGTATTATTCGTTTGGAAAATTATTGGTTGGTTGGCCTTGAACTTGGATGATGCTTTCGTGACCTTGGCCCCAATGGAGATAATGCTAAATCGCTTGAATTTTGTAGTTTTATGGTTTTTGGATAACAGAAACTATTGAGAATTGTCACAGACATATGATATTTGTGACTCAAACGACTAATTCTAGGCTGAAAATTATTGTCTAATTTTAAAAGTATTGAATAACTTTTAAACTCATACACCAAATAGCTAATGTTCCGATGCCTAGATTTGAAATGTCGGCCCTAAAACTGCCCTGATGTATGTTATAAACATAAGCCTTCATTGAGAAATAATAAATTTATAATATTAAAATTGATTTGAAATAGGCATATAACATTTTTCAATTAACATATTTGATTTTATTGATTGATTTATCTTTTTACAAATCATCATGACCCTAACACCATTAAAATTTGAGTAAATACTTTGCCTACGGAATGTCTAGTATAGGGCTTTGGGCCTTCTAATACCAGGAAATTGGCCATTTGTTTTAAAGAAAAGAGTGCGCTTCTTCCCATGACATTAGATATGAAGTGAGTTCAGATTTTCTTTTAGGGATTGTTGTTGTTGATAATATTTCTGTCTGTTAATTATTTGAAAATGGTATAATTTATTCTTGAATTATATGGTAATACATTATAATACAGCAACAACGGGTTTTGTTTACTGGGGTTTTGAGTGTTTTTGTTCGTGGGGTTCTAATTTGGTGCGTCATATAATTGC